CCGGCGTTATATTAACCGCGATAGCCGTAGGAACAAGAAGTTGCCGGAACGGTGGCATATTTGAACACGCCCCCGCTATTTACCGAAGTTTCGAAAGATCTTAATTTTCTTGCCAGGTTGAATCGGATGCCTTGGAACGCGGGGATAAAGCGGTCCCGTGGTAACGGAAACTCTTCCAGGGTGAACGCGACCTTTCTCGAAACTTTTAACCGATCAAGATACGTCGCGAGCAGAGTCGGACCGTTTCGCCCGGTCGACGACGATTTGAATGAAAAGGTCCGGATCGAATCGGTCGTGGCCGGCACTCCGTAGCTGGATGTTTAATTTCCCAACGATAGGGGGAGGCGGGAGGGGGAGGGAAATGGATTCCCTCCGTCGGCGCGTATCAATTATTTCGCGACCCGGGTAACTTTCCATCGATTTCCTGTCAGCGAAACACCCTTATTTCAAAATCAACGGAACTCGACCGCCGGTAGTCGTAGAACGCGGTGAAATTAAATTACCAGTGCATTAAAATACGACTGCGGGGGCGGGTCCCCCGTGGCTCTCGCGACTAGAGCTTCGCGTTACCGCAGGGTAATCTGAATTATGGTTGCCCGGATACAACACTCTTCGCCGGTGAGCACGTTGAAGCCAAAATTCCGCGTGCACCTGCGACGACTACTCGTTCGTACATTATTAGTTGGCCAAACTTCTGCTCGACCAGCAATTTAGGATCGATACGCTTCCAGGTGGAATTTTTTATTCGCCGAGCCTCGCGTTGGTCCAAATTATTCGACGTTATTGTTTCACAGCAAACACGTGCCTTCGCTGGATCGGATCATCGATGTGTACGACGGGTAACAGAAACCATCTTTCAGACGGCAACCATTAGTCTTTTCCTCGTATATTCAGTCGCGACAGTCGGTTTACACGCGACAATCGGCGCAGACCTTCGTCGGGTTGTCCCCTAACTTCGTCTTGACTAATTATAGTTCGTCTTTCAAGCCCTAACCGTGTTCCGCGTGTCTCCCTTTCCGACGATGATAAATAGACAGCTCTGACGCGTTGGACTCTATCGTAAGGCATCCCACCTTTATTTCTCCCTCGAGTTTCTAGATTTCGATTACTATTTTGAGAATATTTCGAGAAATATCAGAATCGTATTTCACAATAGCAATAAAGTTATACTCCGGTTACCATGCTCGTTGCGTCAAAGAATCTTTAATCAAAGAACAAGAGCGGATCCCTGGTTTTGTAAACAGCATAAGGACCTCGGAGATACACGTATGATAAGCAGTTTCACCGCGGTAGCATAATGGTACGATATTTTTCTGACTGTTGCGTGCATGTACGGCGCGGTCTGGTGGAAATGAAAAAGGAGGAATCCTCGGTCCGGTTTCCAGCTGCAAACAAAACGTCAACGAACAGGGTTGTCGTCCATTGTCTTTGTAGAATTCTTTGGGATTTTCTGCATGACGGATCGTTGCCTGTTCACGGGGATAATTTTAATAGCTGCTTCGTACACAATTTTACGTTTATCCGTTCTCGTTTACGATAGATGGACAAAACTTTGGCAAAATATTTCGAGGATTACAGTGGGCGGGAATTCTATGAAGCTCTTTGCACTTTTAATGGATCTGTTAATATTTGTGCATTTTCCATTCCAGAGGATTACTCTTTAATTTTGAAATTGTCCTTCTGGAGAATTCACGATTTTCGTTATCCGCGAGTTCGATTCCCCGGTAACGACGGGCATTGATCGAAAGACGTTATCCGTTAATTGCTGTTCTCGCGGCGACAGGAACGCTGACTCATTTCGCTCGATTGGCGCCGTTTCGCGTATAACGCGAATACGCGAATCGAACTGCGATCGCAAGCAAAATCGTTGCAACGATCGTATCGTCGAAGACCATCGAATAACAATCCGGGAACTCGCTCGCTGGCCGAGTCCTGGGCGATTACCGACGTTCTTTTCGATTATTACGAAGCGTTTGTATCTCCGTCGAATCGCCGGGAAGCGTTTCAAAATCGCCAGCGGGAAACGAGGATGGAGGATCGTACAGCGAACGGTTCATCGTATTGTTTGAAATACATCGCGATAAAGCGGATGATTCATCGGGAAGAGAGCGTCTTTAATCCGACAGCTTGATACTTTTCGTTGAACGAAGGACGCCGAACAAAGAGGTCCGTTGCCCGGAGCAAAAGAGCGTCTGGTCGGGGGGGGACGACGTCGACGTCGGATGCATTTTTCATCGGGAAAGAGATTTTTTTTCCTTTCCTCTCCCACCCCCCCCCCCCATAGAATTTCAGCGAAACGGATTAGACTGCGCGCGCCTTTCTATCTTTTCAGGATACCTATAGTCTCGCGGGGAAGCAACCCCTAGAGCGTCCCTTTTACAATTTATTCCTCGACCAGTCGTGCTTAAAGGACTGGAAACTCTGATTTTGTACGAACCACCGCTCGTATTTTTAGAGCAATTAAAAATAACTACGAGGGGCGATACCTACTTGTCCCATCAAAATTTCATTTATTTTATATCGCACGCGTGTCTCTGGTACAATTTTCAGCCGCTTTTCGGTTACCTTTGTTTTCGACTAATCCGCCGCGAATCTGCAGTTTTATACGAACGGGAACGGCGATATTTTCGCGCGCAAATTATTCCACCGCATTGTATTCGAGAAATTCGGAGAATCGGGGGTAGCCAGAACGCCGGGGATGTGTTCATTAAAATCGCAAACGTGCGACTTTACGCAGCCCCCGCAGCGACTGACACTTTTTATCGCGAGCCCGAATCAACGTTCCAACGCGAGGGATTAGACGAAAAAGGGGAAAACAAATTCCACCGCCGCGACCTCAGTTTCTCTCTCCAAAAACGGCGTGCAAAAAAAAAAAGAAAGGGGTAGTTTTAACGCGCCCCGAAAGCTGCCGCCTGCACGCTGGGTCTACGAATCGACAACAAGAAAAATCCGAAAAATCCCAGCGGGTGAAAATGCCAGCCACGTATTCGGGCACTCGAATTTTTTTCAAATTATAAGCGCGGAGGAAGGGAGACGCGTCGAGCTGTTCAGCGCGGGGAATTGTTTAAATTTTTGGCGGATAAGGGTCCTCTTTGGACTCGAGTCATCGACTCTCCACCCTAATACAATGTAATTCTTTAATTTGTATGTAGAAGTATTAATAACAGAGCGTAAGGTGGACTTGCACCATTATAGTTCGAAATGCTTTGCTAATTTTGTTTAGTGACTAGCAAACGTTTCGCAATTTCTCAGCAAAGTATAAACTTACAAGTAAATCGATTTTGATGATAAATAGAAGACAGCTTGAAGGTTTAAAATCCAGAGTAAATTCAAATTTGAAGAATTATAATATAAATCTTAACAAAAGTCTGTGACTCGGAATATTTTATTTTTAAAAATAAGAAGACATTGGGGCGGGAAAGAAAGTTCCTTCCGGGGGCGTTTGAACAATGGGACTGGACAAAAAAAATTGTTCGAACCAGAGAGAAGGAGGGGGAGAGTCAGGGTCGAAGGTAGAATGAAAAATGGCGGCGCGGGTGGAAGCTGGATGAGCGATGGAAGCGTGGAGAGAGACTCGGACGCAGGGTGGCTCGAATCGTAGGAACGGGTAGAGAAAAGCAGCCCCCGAAGCGTCCCTTTTGAGGTTAGGCTTCCAGCAACAACCCCTCTGTATCGCCGTGGGGTTACGCGTACGTCGAGTTCCAAAGGTAGTAGGTCACACGTAAGCGTCACGAGCTCACGGAGGGTGATTCGTCAAAGTCGAATCATCGTGGTCTGCGCGCGAGGATAAAAGGCGAGGAGTCGCGGTGAAACGGGGGCCCCGTTTGATGTCGCCCAGACCTCGATGAACCCTCCTCCTCGCTGATAAGCGGACCTAACGCCAACTTTCGTCACGCGAATACTCAAACGTCTACGTCGTATCGACGAAATCAACCCCCATTATCGTTTCGAAGTTGTTCGTTTTACGTTATCGCAAGCATCATTAACCCTTTGGGCTCCGAATTATATTTCAATTTCGTTGCCAGCAGCTGTTAAATGCTTTATTTGAAATTTACAATTTAAATAGATTCAATTAAATATCTGTTTTATGCTGCAAATGGTTAAGAGGGCCATTCCTTTTCTCGATGCAAGATTATCGAAACGAAATTTTCAAGAACCTTCGAACAAGGGATCTTGAAGACAATAGACAACCTTACTGAGAATCTAAAAGAATCTAAACTTCTATTGGAAATAGTTTAAAATAGTCTACTAAGAAAAAAAAAATAATTAAAAATGTGTACAGTTAAATTGGCGAATAATCAAGTTAAACGGTCAAACAAATTTTCCCAGACGAGAGCGACTGGTTTGCAACGGTTCTCCTATTCGTTTAACGTTTCTAACCGCGTATTAACAGGGATGATCGTTAAGGGTGCGCCCCTTTATCGTTCCATTAGCGTCGGCGCGGTATACATTTTAATTAATGTCTGTATTCGTATGCGCACGTGCGCCGGCGTTAATTACACGTTATCGCGGCTAATTGCTTCTTAAACCTTTTATCGCGACGGGAGGGGAGGAGGAGGGGGCAAAGAAGCGGAAGTGGAAGTGTCGGCGAGGGTTACGGGAAAAGCGTTTAGTTCCAAGTCCGACGACGTAGCTTCCACTTCCGGGTTTATGGCGTCCGCTCGAGTTTGAGAGCCCTCTCTAGTTTGGGGGATAAAAAGCGCTGATTATGCCTCTTCGCGTTCCTTCCGTTTCGAGCTCTGAAACCTGCGCGTCGAAATTATGACGGAATTCGAAAAATTGTCCGGAACTAATAAACAGTGGTAAAATAAATGGGGTTCTTTATTAATTTACGTTATATTATTTATCGTACGTTAATTCGATTAGAAAAAATTTCTATAGCTTGACAAAAGATTTAAGTACACGTACAAAGTTTGACATTTACTTGTTTACTTTTATTAAGTTTGTTTACGACTTTTTACAGTGACTGGAATTCTCTGTAACTCGTGATAAATTTCTAGGTGACGCAAGCTGCAGTCGCATCCGGTGCCCGAACAAAGCTGCTTCTGCCATCGATCCGATCGGCGACCGGTTCCACAGGTAGGAAACTGATAAAACAAACCAGTTATCGAAACTCCTGAAAATCAACGAATTTGTCCAAAGAGCATTAAAACGTATAAAATACGTAAAGGATCAAGAACATCTTGCTCGATGTATCGATAACCTAATAACCGTTCGGTGGCCGTAACTTTTCATAAATTTTCCTGGCGAACCTGGTATCCCTTCGACGGCGTAACAAAGCGAGCGGCTCTCGAGTTCGGTCGTCGTGGAACGCGTAATTGATAGGATAACGAACGAAATCACTCGTGTCCGGGGGATAGCGAACGCGACGTAATTGCAAAAAGCGATCGCGTGTTCTAAACCACGGGGTTAATAGAGAGAGTTTAATGGTTATTAATCGCATCGAACGTACAGAGGTATCGTTAAAGAGCTCCCGTTTCAGTCCCGTGAATTATAAACGAGCTGCAATCCCAACAGCCAGAGTCCCGAAACGAGATTTCGCGTTGGACACGAGAATCGATGCGTTCACCAGCGATTTATACGCCGGCGAACGCATTAATTTTCATTTGTCCGCGACATTTTCCTCGCGACGATCTCCGTTGATTCTCGACTCGCGAGAGTATCCGTTTTGGGGGACGATTGACAATGAAAAAAAAAGAAAAAATAACAGGCGAATATTAGCATACAGTGGAATATCCGTGGTTGCACTAACCGGCAGGAAATTTGCATCATAGCTCGTTTCGCGCGAATTTCGTAATGGATCGAGAATGAGGCACGTTGCGAAGAGTGGAACAGGATTAAAAACTTATGGAGGGGCGAGCATACCGATCGACGCGTTCCTGAAAATAATACCGTACACGCAACACCTACCGAAAATCCATTCGACCGTGCTGGTTTAATCCCGCTTCGAACCAGTACGAATTATCGGCGATAATTATTGGTCGAAGCAGAAGTGGACCGTTCGTGGAACCATCGGTCACGGGGTCTCCGTATTTTTAAATATTTTACGCGTGTGGATCAACATTTATCACTTTCTTTCTCAACATACGTTAACGATTCTTTAACATTCGGTATTATTCATTCACAATTTTTTTAAACGCCTCGAGGAAAGTATTCGTCGATTTAATTTTTAATATACGATACCAGACGTTGAAGTGATATAAATTAATTAAAATATTATTCCTATCTCGCGCGTACACTTAATAATAATTAATATTCGCATCGGTGACCAGGGGACCACTTACCCTCGCAGTGTTTCATTTAAGCGACATTTTCTTTGCCCGGTATTGAAATTTATTCGAACCAGTTACCCGTATCGGTGAACAAAAGTAATGTTTAATACCGGAAGATTATAAAATATATCGTCGCTGTACCAACGTGCGCGGACAATTTCGATTTATGCGCGCGTTCGCGATTATTCCAGCTCGTTTTAATTAAAATCATCCAACTAAAAATGGCAGCCACGCGAATTTCAATTCACATTGTTTGTGGAATATCGTAGAATTTTTTTTTTTTTTTTTTTTTTTGTAATCGAACAAATACAAAACTGGAATTAAAAAATTCCTCTCGATTTTCCGCGCTCGCGAGGGACGAACGTGTAAAATTGGATAACGAAATTTTGATCACGGTTTTCGAAAAAGAGATTACAGTCCAGGACATTGTCCAGCCTTGGTATTCCCAAATTTGGTCTCGATAAAATAATTCTTAGTCTTCGCAAATTCGCAAGTTCCAAGATCCAACGAGCCAGCTGCTTAAATCGTAACTTCTACAGCACGTTGCGAAACAGTTTGTAACGAATTCATTTGCTCCCGGTAAAACGTACTGTAATAACAGACGATCCGCAAGACCGAGCTGTAATTTTCAATATTAAGTCTTGTACGAGTTAGTATCGCGCAAGAAATATAAGATAAATTATCGTAAATGGTACGACGTTGGCTCTCCTCGACGTTTTACGCGCTCGGATATAGTTGTATAGTTCCATGTACACGTTTAGCGCTCCTAACCGTTAATCGCATCATAGGTTTTTGTAACTGGTGGAAATTTGTAGCAACTGGTGCACGAGAAACGTTAAATGTTCGTTCTTATTCCCAGGAACGCGCACCTGATGTTTCTTTGCGCGATCCGGAAGCTCGAATTTCGTTCAAACACCAGCTCATACTCGTATCTATTTTATTACAAAATTTTCCACTCACTTTCCAAGAATTTCGACAATAATCTCTTCTATAAATCGATCATGGATCCTTTCAAATTTTTGGACAGATTTGTTGAGAAAATTTTAAAAAGAAATTTTAAACTTTGAAATATAATATCAGGGATGTTGTTCCTGAACAAAGTTGTCTCTTTTTCCATATTTCCACGGAGTGGGTGGGACGTTTGGTCGATTATGAAATTACTTTTTATCTCTCGGGGTTCGACGAAGACAGATTCGCGCGCTTCCGGATTTGAATGACCGTCACGCGTCTTGGAGCGGCCGCGAGAGGCAGAATTTGATTTTCGAACGCTCGCTGTCGCCGTTCACCGAAGTGAACGGAGGCGAACCGGCTCCAATTAACACTCACAATTATCCAGCCACCTGAACGGGCTAGACTGCGTCGCGATTGATCGGTCAGAGAGGCGGGAAACCATGACAAAGTCCGACCGCGAATACGAAAAACCGACGAGAGAAACGCGTGTACGATGTCGCGTATCGTCGAAGAGGAAAAGGAACGCCCGTAACGCTCGCGCAATTACAATTAGCATAGTTTTTCGTGAGAATTAGTCGCGGTTGGGAAACTCTGCGTACGATTGCGCGTCGTTTCAACGAGAGTCTCTAACGGGTGACCCGAATTCCCGAGCGGTGTCTACGACGTTCCACAGACAGGAAACGACACGATGCACACGGGAATGCGTCGTTTCGCGCATAGTAATCCGCATACTAGCCTCGAACCGCGTCAGAATAGTTATCTTTATTCGTGCATCGTCGAAATAAATATTTTATTCCGTGGCTGAAACCGAGACGAAAATTAAAAATTACAAAGAGAGGAGGTTCCCAGATTTTTCGAATGAAATCTCTTTTATTTTTATTCCGCGTAGTTACAAGCCTATAGAAATGAAAATTAATCTGTTTCGAGTAACAGTGTTTACAGCGAGAGGAACTGGTCGATCGAATGGGTTCTTTGCCCTATAATTGGCTGTTTGCTCGAGAAGGTTCGTCTATGAATTGTCAATTTGAAACACTCACCTTGGGAGCAACTTTTCCGAATTAATTATCTCGCGAGTATTTTCCGCGTGGCTGGAAAACAAGGTTGAGCAACGTGCAAACGATGCACTTCGCGGCACGAACGACCAATAAAGGACGATAAGTCAGAATGTCGGTTAATTTGTTCGAGTAGGTTACGTGGCGTAATTACGGTTCACGATAACGAGCAACGCTTGTGTCGCGGCGATTATATTAGCTCGAACGGGGAACTTGGAACAAAGCTAAAAATAAGAACGACGAACGTATTTTAATAATACGCGTTACGATCGTCAGCCCTCTTCGGTATAGCTATCGCGAAACAAAGTTTCGCGAGTAAAGAATGAAATAGAAATGATTGTATGGAATTTTTCTCTTCCGCTCTAGAACGATCGAGTTCGTTTCAATGTCAAACGAACCGATAGAATTAAACGGTGAAATTATAAAACGTTTTCTGTTTTCGCCCGGTTTAGCACCATTTGATTACCGTTGATTGCGAAATCATCGAAACGAAACAGAACTCGCAGGCTATGGAATAAACCGACTAATGAAATGTCCTGTCGGGGGAAAAGTAATAAAGAGGAGAGGATCGTATCGATTCAACGATTCACGAATGATAAACCGATGTCTAATATGATGGAAACGCGGGGGATTTTACGTTCGACCCGATATTAGGCGAAAAATGTATTGTCGCGAACAATTCTCGCGAATATATTGCTATTATCGAGCTCGTCGCATTTCATTTCGTTCGAGGGCGTTTCATCGTAAACAAATGCTCGCCCATTGTCGGCGGATCGAACAATAAAATACGATTTAACGTTCCTCGATCGCGGGGAACGAAGGTGAAATTTTCAAGTCGTTCCATCTCGTATAATTACAGTCTTATTTTTCCTATTTCTTGATGCATCGTTTCAGTCGAATTGTTTCAGTTTTTATACCGTATCGCTGCCAATGTTTCGCATCCTATTATCGTTATACGTTGCAAGGTTATTCGAACGCATTAACGAATGCACGGATCTTTTGGAATGAATGCGAGGAGCGTTGGAAAAAGTCAACGGAATTGCTAACGGCATTCGCCGGCCTACACGTACGATCGATACAGTTTTGCATACCGAAGGTGGTATGGCGATCATTTATGTAAGCGGAATAAATTGCTATACTTGACCGATCCGACGAAACACTAAATACAATACGGTTCGAAGGTGTTTAAACAGCAAAACCGCGAACGATCTCGTAGATGATCACGGCGTACAATTAAATTACATCCAAAGTTTTGCGCGTTACGTGGGAACAGAGAAACGAGCGAACGAAATACAACGCGCGCAGTCCTCGAAATTAAAATCCACGGAACAAGACAGAATCGCAAAGTCCGCGGGAACACGTTTTACTACGCTGTTCAAATTTGTTTTCGCGATAACAACGTCGTAATTAAAGCCCGTTAATTGAATATCGCCAGACTGCCGAATATTCCGGATCTAATTGCGTTGTTTTATCGTTGCGTGTAATTGACGTTCCATAACGAACTCTTTTTCGCCCGCTCGCCGCGCCCGGCGCATTATTATATAAACAACCATCGCATTTTAATTTCGTTCAAAGGATCGCGTACAATCGGGGAAATATATGGAGAATTAAATTCTTTTAAATTTGTTAAAATTGCAAACTGTCTTTGCAAGGGTTAAGGAATCTCCGTTTCACGAGTTCCGCGAATCGGTCGGCCAATTAAAAGGATCGACGGGCCTTAAATGGCGGGGTATTTAATTAATCGTGTGTGTGTGTCCCCCCTCCGTCTCGAAGCGCCACGGCGTCTCGTGGTCTCCGTAAGTTG